TTCCATGGTCTCGGTAAGACATACGACTAGGGTTCATGGTCCAGAGGGTACGGCTTGCGGTAGATGGGGTCATGGTGGTCTCGGCAAGCGAGGCCATGTGGTCTCAGCAATGGTGGTCTTAGCAACAGTGGTCTCGGCAACGGTGGTCTCGGCAACAGTGGTCTCGACAACGGTGGTCTCGGCAACAGTGGTCTCGGCAGCGGTGCTCTCAGCAACGGTGGTCTCGGCAACAGTGATCTTGGCAACGGTGGTCTCTGCAACGATGGTCTCGGCAACGGTGGTCTCGATATCTCCTCAACGGCACGCACTTGCAAGGCATGGCGACCGGAACGTCGGAAAGACTCCACTTGTCATCGGTACGATGCTAGGGATCACGCAGTTTCTCAACGGCTCACCCTCGTTTAACGAGGCAGCCGGAATGTCGGGGACGGACTCAATACAACGACGGCACGGTGCTAGGTCATGCGGTGTATGCCAGGGCTTTGTTCGTGAGTCGTGTAATGTGACTACTTCAAAAGGTCTTTAGTGTGGGTCTCGGTAGATTTCAACGGCATGTTCTTGTAACTCGAGGTAGCCAGAACAGTGGTGAACCACGGGCACAGGGTTCCATGGAACCGTCAGGGCAACCAAATAGGGAATCCTGTAGTCCATGATGCGGCGATCAATACTACGTGGTCCAATTACGGCTTCAGGGTTCACGATGAGGTCATGGTAACTCTTCGCCGCGGCATGGCTTGGCCACGATGGGTTTTACAGGCGACAAGTCCTTTCTGGCGTCTCCTATGCCGTGGATCCGTTTGGCTAAGTCCGGTCCCGTGCTAGTGAGTGCGGGCGTCTCCTATGAGTGCAGGTGATCGTGGTCATGGGCGACCGGCGGTGGTGCTCTGAGGCTCGCATGGCATCGTTGGTGTGCGTGTTTGCGCGTGTGGCCACATGGCAAGGCTGAGCGGCTGCGGTGGCTTGCTACGGCTCGCTACAAGTGGCTAAGGTTGGCCAAGGGCTGGCTACGGCTTGGCCGAGCATGGCTAAGAGCGTCGAGTCAGTGGCTTAGTCATAGATCATGGTCGGGGGGTGCTTGGAACCATATGGTGGCATTCCTGGGCATCGTACGTGTCTTGCGCGAACAGTGTGAGCGCAAGCAAAGAGTGGGCTCTTTAATTTTGAGGGGTCAAAAGTACTTAAGGGTTGGTCCACATCGTAGGGCTCGATTTTAGTAAAATGTGGGAACTGGTTTCACATTTTTCCGAGATCGTATGAACTTTCTATGAATTTCCAAAGATTAAATCTATTTCTAAAAATAATAAAGGCTGATTATTTCAGGGCTGACACGTGTCCACAGTGACTGGTCCATGTGGCATGCTGCATGACGTCAGCATGGCGTCATCAAGTCTAAACCACGGCTGACAGGTGGGTCCCGCTGACGTCAGCATGACGTCACCTACTGACAAGTGGGTCCAGCGGCTCTGTGTCGCTGACATGTGGGCCCGGTCAACGGTCAATGTTGTCCGGTCAACACCGGCTGGGCCCAAACTGGGCCGGTTGGGTCTGGATACGGGCTGGGCTCAGCCCGGACACGTGTTGCGCGGGGAGGCCATCCACGTGGCTAGTTGGGCCTCCAGCGGGCTTCGGTACACGGAGCTGGCTCACGGTGCACCGTCAGGCAGGGTCCAGTGGACCACTGACTCAGTCCATCGTGGACCAGGCTCACTTTCTCCTCCTGTCTCTCAGGTTCACGGAATCAAGGCGAATCTCGATGGCCAGACCCCGTGTCACAGGGTGGCCGGAGACGGGGTAAAAGGTCCACGGCACGGCGGTGGCTTGGTCTCAACACAGGGCTGAAAGGCGGCGCTGGGGCTCCAGGTGGCCGGCTGCGTTCCCGGGCGCCATCGGCCCGGCAAGGCAAGGTCGTGGCCGTGTACGTGAGTGCGTGTGTGTGTCCTAGAGCGGAGTAGCTCTAGGGTCAAGCCGGCGTCGAAGGCCGGGACAGTGTCAGGGCTTGGCGCGGTCGTGGCGTGCGCGTGTCCAGTGGGGGCAAGGCTTGGGGCGACAAACCGTTTCCACGGCCGACTCGACTGCATGCTTGTGGTGGTGGAGCTCCAGCTCGGCGTCATGGCGGCAAGGGAGCAGGGGCGTCGGTCGATGGAGGCAGTCCGTGGTGCGGCTGGTGGCATGGTCGTAGCACGACGAGGGGCTCGGGACGGCGCGACGGGGACGACGCGACGAAGCTTGGCACGACGTCCACGAAGCAGGTCCAGGAGGTGGTTGGTAGTTGGCGTCGCGGTGGTGGCTAGAGGCAGAGCGTGTCGGCGCTGGCTCGGTGCAGAGGGCGACGTCGTGGCGAGGTCAGCGTGGTGAGGTGCTGCGGGTTCTAGCTCGATGTTGGGCATGGACGCGGAGAGGAGGCTCGGCGTGGGCGACATCGCTCCTCAGTGCTGGCTCGGGCGGCGCACTGGTGGCGAGGCTCGGAGCAGCGCGCGCTTGAGGTGGAGGACGACGGCATGGAGGACGGTGTCGCAGGGTGGGAGGTGCTCGCGGTGGCTGCGTGCTTGACGACGTCCGTGCCGCTCCAGCGTGGCGTGGTGGCCGGCAAGGAGGGCTCCAGACGCTGCGCCCGGACTGGAGGGCAGCGAGGACGAGATGGCGGCGGCTTGGAGGAGGAAGAAGAGGGGCGGCGCACTGGGAGGAAGAAGAAGATGGCGGCGGCTCGGCTACTTATGGGCGCGGGCTAGGGCAACCAGGGGTCACGGATGGCGGCGATCCTCGGGGTCCGCGCTTCCTGCCCACGCGGCCCGCATCGAGCGGAGGTGCGGAGCTGGTGTGGCGCGGGCGCGTGCTTTGCCACCCGAGCGGCGGCGGCGGGGTCTAGGAGCGGGGTCGCGGCGCGCCCTAGGGTTGGAGGGGCGTGCGGCTGCTGGCCAGGCTGGGCCGCGGCTTGCTGGTCCGGCCGGCTGGCTGCGCCGATTGGGCCAAACAGGCCACGCGCGCGCGAGCGGGCCAGAAGCAGGGGGCAGGTTGGGCTGGTTCGGTTGGGTTGGACCGATCAGGCCAATATGGCTTTCACCTTTCTTTCTCATTTCCTTTACTCTTTTCCCTTTCATATATTGCTTGATTAATTCCATAACCAAGTGTTTGTATGCTAAACTTAATTAGCTTAGGTGTGGGCCCACTTGGGTAATATCCAAGGGTCACTAGGGTCTACTACGGGTCTCGAAATCCAATGCCAAGGGTTGGCTTCGATGGGCATTGATTTACAAGGAAGGTCGATTGACTTTATGAATTAAATCATGGGATTCGAATGAGGTTCAAAAGCAAGAAGATGAATTGAGAGAGAGGAAAAAGGGATTTCATAAGATATTCTAGGAGGGATTAAAAGGATTTGCTACGAACTTGTGCTCTCCAACACAAAACACTAAACCAACAAAAGAACTCCGGCAAACTCCTACAAGTAATTCTATGTGCATGCAACAATTTATTTATAAATTATTCTTAGTTTGCCTAGCATCTACATGCTTCACTCAATTGCAGGAATTTTTTTTTTAAAAAGTTCGTATTTTTGGTTTCCAGAAAAATCCGGGTTGTTACAATGACCTCTAATGATGTAGTTCAATGTCATAAGAAAATTTGGAAAGGCAAAGTTCCAACAAAAATTAAAATCTTTCTGTGGATGATCTTAAATAATGCAATTCTCTCAAAAGATAATATGATAAGAAGAAATTGGCCAGGCTCTCCTAGTAATACTAATTTATGTCGTAAATAAATCCATATTATTTTACTTACCTACGGTCAAAGTTGTGCAAAAAATGTGAAGTAGGTTTGGACCTGTTTGGATTCACTCCTCTAAATTTTAGAACTAAAGTCTCCAAACAGGTGGTCTAAAGTTTGCTCTAAATTTTAGTTCACCCCACATTAGAGCATTAGATATCAAAATTGAGCTAAAGTGCTCTAAAGTTTTAAAAGCTTTAAAGTTTAGAAGAGAAGATCCAAACCGGGGCTTTGACTCGTAAATAAATCTATATTATTTTAGTACCTGTATTTCTGATGGTGTTTGCTTTTTTTTAGTGGAATTCTGATGGTGTTTGCTGCATTGAAAGTGGCGCTTGCATGCGGCCAATTTCTCAATCCTTTTCCTTTGCTACATTCCTTCGTGGGCCTTGTGCCTTCGGCCCTTTTACAAACTTTGCTCTAAAATTAAAAAAAAAGGTACAGAATGAGCTTTTCTAAATTTATTCATGGTATTTACTTGAAAGTAAGTACAAAATGATTTTTTGTCGACTTTTGTCAAGCAGCAACGATTTATTGCACGAGGTCAGCAAGACATATGATATGATTGCCCTTTGTCACTCGTGTTTGGTAATCCATGACACCTCGATTCATCTTTAATGGTACTATGAAAGTTCCGGTGCTTTTTTTTTAAAAAAAAAGAAAACTAACCCTACTCCAAAAAAAATAAGCCAAAGTACATATTGAGATTTTTTTTATTTACTCCCTCCGTCCCTAAATAGATTTTTTTTTAAGTTTGACTAAATTTATAGAAAAAAGTATCAACATCTATGACATAAAATTAGAGCTTTATGAAAATATATTCTATGGCAAATTCAATACTAATTTGATATCATAAATTTTACTGTTTTTCTATAAATTCGGTCAAAATTTAAAATTTTTGACTTAAGACAACTTTAAAATTTTATTTATTTAGGGACAGAGAGAGTAGCATATATTTATCTTTCTTTTTTAAAACGACATCTATTTATCTATAGCAGGCTTTCCACAACCAACAGCGTGTCGGTGCAAGAGGTCAGCAAAGAGATTGACCTCTGTTACAACTTACACGTGTTCTTATTATTCAACGCAATCCTCGTTAATCTACAGAACTATGCATGCACACAGGTTGCAGCAGGTCAACGAGAAGTTGAGCCGCTGTTTTCTGAGAAATGAAGAGCATCTCTACACACTGATTCGTCATGGAAGCTTCCAAGATTCAGAGGCAGGGGGCGGATCAATCAGCCGGCCAGCGACGGGAACACCCAAACCGGGGGCGGCCACTTCCACAGCAGGTCCCTGGCGGCGCCGCGCGGCGGCCTGTAGCTCCCGTCGGTGACGTCCAGCACGCCCACGTCCGGCGCCACCTCGTGGCACCTGTAGTGCGACCACGGCCCGTCGTCGGTGAAGTAGACGCAGTTAGCCCTCACCCCGGCGCACCACCCGGCATCGTCCGCCGGGACGCACAGCGACGCGCTTTTCCCGAGGAACAGCGCGCGCCCGCCCAGTACGCGGTCCTTGCCGTCCGCCCGCGCCCACTGGCCGGTGGCGGCCGTCCACTCGAAGAGCTCGACGCCGGTGGTGGTATACTCCACGTGCTCCGGCCGGGGCTCCCACGCGTACCGCGCGTGCGCCGCCTCGCGGAGGCGGTGCACCAGCAGCAGGCGCCCCGGCGAGAGCTCCACGAGGTACTTGCGGCACGCCGCCGACATGGCGCACGCGCGGCCCGAGCACGAGCAGACGCACGGCGGCGCGAGCGCGACCGCCCTGGGCGCCATGGCGGCGTCCGTGTCCCACGCGTCGACGCGGCCCGCGGCGTCCATCGTGTACACCGGCTGATGGTCGCGCCGGCTCCCGTCCGCGCCGGACGACAACGAAGCGCGCACGGCGTCCACCCAGCACCGCCCGGGCGTGTCGGCGTCGAGCAGCGCCCACTCCGCGTCCCCCGCCCGCGCGACGGCGAGGCGGCCCAGGGGCTGGCAGATGAGCAGCACGGCGTACCCGCCCCAGGAGGAGGCCGAGGTGCCAACCCTCCGCGGCGCCGACACGACGACGGCCTTCTCGTACACCTCGTACCGGAGCCTGTCGGGCGCGAGCATCTCCGGCGGGACCAGCGCCTCCTCGCCGCACTCGCCACCGCCGTCGTCGGCGAAGGAGAACCGCAGGCCGTAGCTTTCGACGCGGCCGTCGGAGCCGCGGCGGGCGTCGACGAACGGGAGCGTGGCGGCGGGCGGGAGGCGGAGCTGCGCGCCCGTGACCGGGTTCAGGAGGCTCAGCTCCGAGCAGGCGTCGGCGGTGACGAGCCACCCATCGGGCGACGAGCCGACGCAGAGGCGGTCGCGGGCGGCCGGCGCCGGCTGACGGATCGCGTACGCCCGGCCCTCCGCCAGGTTCAGGAACCGCGCCACCGAGAGCTTGGCGCTCCCGTCGTCGTCGTTGTCGTTTCGGCCGGCCCGCGCGGTCGGGTTGAAGGGGAGCATGAGCCACGGGGACGGCGCGGCCTGAGGAAGCCCCGCGGCGGCGGCGGCGGTGTGGGCCGACTGCCACGCGGTGCAGACGGCCGGGAAGCGGACGCGGTCCGGCACGGGGAGGCGGGGGAGGACGGACTCGAGGAGGTCGCGCGGTAGGTCGGCCCACCCGCCAGCGATGGCGAGCTTGCTCATCGACATTAGAGCCTTAGAGGAGGAATAGGATCGCGTGGAGCGATTGGGTTGGTGAGGCGAAAGATTACTTAAAAATGGCCGCCGCCGCCGTGCATGTGAGCATGTCTCGGTGTTCCGGCGTGCCGTGCCCGTGTATTTGGTGATGCCGGCACCCGCCGATACTGCGAAGAGGCTTGGAATTGGACTGGGCAGGACGGGATGTGTACGGCGGGAAACCGTGGGCGCGCGTGTTTTGCGGCCGGGTCCTAATGGCTTTTGGAGGGCCGTCTGCTGTCCCGAATAATTTTAGCGGGCCGGGCCGCACGAGACTTGTGGGCGGTGGCCTGCTGTGGCTGGGCTAGGCCAAAACGAAGACCGCGGTGGCACGTTGAATCTCGGCGGGGAAATGTTTTGTTTTCGGAAGCCCGCCCGCTCGTCCGATTTGATCGGTAACAAATCGGCTGCAGAAACGGATAGATATAGGCGCATGCAATGCAGGTACGCGAAATGCTTGAGCGGTGCAGGTGCTACCTGCGCATGCATGCCGTTGCGATGATGCCGGACGAGCGAATAATTGAATCCCCGCCCAAACCAAACGCAAACGGAAACGGATGGAGCCGGATTTAAGGACACGTGAATGGACCCTCAGGCTTTAATGCGCTTTAATGCCAAAGTACTGGACAGAGCGTACTTACCTACTTAGACAAGAGGGATACTTATAGATCTCTATGAGCGTACGTCTAAACATTACGGCGGGCTCTTCATAGCTGATCTCACATAGTTCTCCCACTGATCTACGCAACTAATTGGGATCATTCGCCTGAGGATGTTGGGAGGAGAACCTAGGTGCAGTACACCACCAACTACAATGACATCATCTCCAAGGCAATGCAGCTCCTCCCGAGCCCTTGCAACCATCTCACTAAATGAAGGCCTATCACTGAATAGCACAGGCACGCTTTGCATGTCAACAAACTCAACATATCCATAGCAATCGTATTCAACGGTGCCTCCATGATATATGGTCACTAAGTTGTCCATCTAGTTCAAACACATAACAAAACACATATTCTTCAGTCCAAATTAGACGATACATAGTACTTAACAAGTACTTTCTAACTACAAACTAAGTAAATAAGATAACAACTACATACATAGATACATTGTACTAACTAAATAGCTATATCCTATTTAGTTAACTAAATATGTAACTACCTATCTAAGTAGATGTCTAACTATATCTATGTACCTATGTATCTATGTTTCTATCTATCTACATATATATCTCACTAGATCACTAACTAAATCAACTACCTTAGTCATCACATTAACAAATAAATCACAAATGCCAACTAAGTAGGTACATTGCATATTCCCAATTTTTACCTTTCCAATGACTGATCCGCGGACGTCGACGGAGTCGCAGCGGACACCGGGCGTGCGTCAGGCCGACGACCCGGGCCGGCGGTGGCACGGCCGATCAGCTGCAGTGCCGAGATGGCAAGCGGTGGCTGCCGCCGACGATGGTGGTGGGCTTGGCGAGCACACAGGATGCCCGGCGCTCGCGAGGCGTAGTCCGGCTCGGCGCGGGCTTGGTGACCGGCGGGCATGGCCGAGGCAGGCGGTGGTAAAGCACAGTCCACGGCACCGGCCTGTGATGGCGGGCGCGCCAAGGCGGCAGCGGGTGGCACGTCGGGCAAGGCGAGGGATGGTGCGCGGAAAGCGGCCGGTCGTGGCATGGCGCGGCTGTGTGTGGCGGCTTGGCGGTGGCGGTGCTCTGCTCTGCTTTGCTCAGGAGGGAGAGGGAGAGGAAGAGAGGGGTAGGGCCCATACGTAATAAAGGCTCGGCGCCAGGGTGACTGGCGCTGAGCTCCCTGCCATGTCACCTCCACGTTGGTCTCGACCCCAAGAGCTCGGCGCTAGGGACGTTGGCGCCGAGACGTGTTAGCTCGGCGCCGAGCTAAGGGTCTAGATTCTAAAATCTTTTCTCCAGAGGCGTATTTGTGAAAAACTTTCAAAAAAATGGCTAAAAAGTAAAAAAATCGGCCACCAGAATAAGACCACCGCCACATGGCATGGTCGGTCCACCCGGCCGCACCTCAAGCCCACGTAGATCCGCAACCGCAACCTAGCCCGTGAGACTGAAGCAAGTGGGTCATCCGCCTAGCCCAACGGCGCCGCCGCCCCGCAGCGACGCGCAAGGGGGAGGGAGGGGGTGCGAAGGCCCAAGGGAGCAGGCCCGTGGGAGGAAGAGGAACCGAGGATTCCAGCAGCCGATGTCGAGCCTCGCCGCCTTGTCTTCCGGCCAGCCCCTTCGCCACCTCCCGGCTACGACCGGCCGCCGGCAGTTCGATTGCCCCATGTCCGCATCCGCTGCTGATTAGAGCTGGGACTTGGGCCGTGCCATTTGAGAGCGAGCTATGACATGGTCTTTTAGGAAGACTTAAAATATTTTGGGCCATGCCAACACTATACGAACATGAGGGCCGTGCCTAAGATCTCGGCGTGATGGGATTTATAGCATAGCCCATATTCTGGGCCATGGGCCAGCACGACACGAAAAATAGCACGTAAGCATGACTTCAGCCTGTCTCTAAGTTTTTGCCTTTTATCTTTCATATAGATTCTAAAACAACGATCAATTGTGAAAATATCTACCTTTCAGACCCATGGCAACGTTGCACTAAAGATCAATTAAATATGATACTTTCCATATGACAACAGCAAAACTAACGTTCACCTACACAGTGCTTATATAACCAAATAGGCAAATATCAGTGCGTTGCAACGGAAATACATAGTACTGTGTACGAGCGTGTGTTATACTATTACCTAAAATAGATGTTGTAATCGTGATATTTGGAAAAACAATAATATTACATAAGTCTTCAATAAAGATCGATAATTAAAATATAACTCCAAATTTATGCGGGTCTGACTTTTTGTAGCTGAAGCATGCTGATGACTGAAACTGTAGTTAGAAGTATCTTACATATAAGTTGTTTGTTAATATTTAAAGTTAAAGTAATGTTGATATGTTGAAAAAATATGTATCGACGTGTGATGCATTACCTTTTTCATGGATAGAACCTCTTTATATACGATATTATTTGTGGATATATACTTTGTCAGTTTCTTCTTCCCCTTCTCTTTTCCTTTCCCCTTGTTCACGTCATTCTCAACAGCCGGCACAGTCGGCATGTGATGACTTCTTCTATACTAACTCCTTTTTTCAGAATATTCATGTGCCACCCAAGCTCACCTATAGGGAAGAATAGAAGGTACGAAAGAGCATTTAACATCTGTGATATTAGCGGATGTTATGTCTGCTTCTATCTTTTAGACAACACTATTTTGGAACTGGCCAAGGAATTCGCTTCCCTTAATCCAAAAAGCATCCACTTCTGAAGCTGATGGCACGTTGTATGTTTTTTGGTCAAAGACCTCGAGGTATTCAGTCTGGCCCACACTCCTCAGATGTTGTGAGTATGGGTTGTCACGAAGGATGGTCACAGGCCTCTCCATGAGGTACAAGTACAAACCATGCCTTCAAAGACATCGGTAACGTCATATATGCGCCGCTTTTGAACCCGAATTGTAGGAAGAGTCTGTTAGTGTGTACCAACTACCAAGTGAATAAAAAGAGATGACAGATGAAAATGAAAACAATCTATTACCTCTAGTGTTTCTGCAACATTATTTAAATCTAGAATAATGCCATCTGGAGCTTGCTTGGCTGCAACATTATTTAAATCTAGAATAATGCCATCTGGAGCTTGCTTGAGCAAGTTAATGAATTTTTTTTGTCAGAAGTCCTGAACAAGGATCAGAAGGATGGATATAAGCAACAGCAAGCATTACTAAGGAAAGAGTAATATAACCAGTTTCAGAAAATATAAAGATGTAGACTGTTATGATATCACCTAGTGAACTGTCATAGCGGCACGTGCCAACAGGAGCTGGTTGATGCGGTGCTGAACCTGTGCATAGAAAGATTTCCATGTTCAAACATGGAAATATGTTGCCTAATAGTAGTAGAAAGGATCAGGAGCTGAAAAAGGATCAGGAGCTGATTTATCTTGCTCTCGTGATCATCACCAATTCATCATCAAAATGACAGAAAATATGTTGCCTAGTAGTAGTAGAAAGAGAAGAAAAAATATATAATGTTTAATATTACCAATGGTCGAAGAAAATAAGTAAAAATATAATGAGGGCCGTGCTGGTGCTGGCACGGCACGAAGGCGGGCCACCGGGCCATGGGCCATGCTTGGGCCTAGAAAAAATCTCCCCGTGCCATTCGGCACGGCCCAACATGACAAGCGTGCCTAAGATGCTAGGCCCAACATGGCCCGAAGCACGAACGGGCCATGCCATGCCGGCCCAGCCCGGCCCAAGTCTGAGCTCTATTTCTGATGCGTCCCATCGGGACCCTCATCTACATACATCTGCAACAGCAGGCCGGCGGTCGTTGCGCAGTGGCAATGGAGAGCGAGCCACTGCCGGGCCCCACCCCCACGACCGCGCGTGGCTCCAACCCATGGAGCAGCTGAATCAGTCGGAGCACCGACAACGCCTAAGCGTCACCGCTTCCTTTGTTTCTTCTTTCACTTGCTTGGCTCTCTCGCTCGCTGCCATTCTTGACTGCTCTCTGATTTGAAGGAATAAGTTTGGTCCTCAGTTTCATTTAATGTATTAAAAAATCTGATTTAGCAGCAAGATTTAGGCCATGTTCGTTTGTCTTATGAGCCATACTATTTCAGCGAGTGTTTTTCTCTCACAACAATTCAGCAAACAGTACTTTCAGCCATAGCTTTTCAGCAAAACGAACGGGGCCTTAATGCTCGTATCCAAACATATGAGAGGGGTAAACACACCATGCCTTTAGTAAGGCTGCATTTTTCTGCTAATTTTCTTTGTGAGAGTTTTGATAACTTCAGTTTTAAGGCCCCTTGTAAATTGGTATGGGATTGTCAGTTGTCAGCACAAGTTGCGTGTGAGCTCTGAAAATTCAGCAGCTGGTACGA